AATTTCTTGTGTGCAAGAGGTCTCCAATAAATGTGTTTTAAACGAATCTGTGGACACACTGTGGACATTCAACTATGTACATATCTTTTAAAACATATGTAAAGCCAATGCCAAAAAAAATAGTAAATTGCAGCTTACCAGTCTTAAAATGTAGTGACTACATTAGTTTTCATTTTAGGTTAAAAACATTTTCAGCAAGTGCAGAAAATAGCTGTTGATTTTGTCAAAACAGGATGGCATTTGATGATGACACTTCTGGTGAGCCAGAATGTAAGAACAAACAATAACATCTGTAAAGTACTAATCCCCCCACACCTCATAAATGGAGCCAAAGAAATGGAAGACTCGTTTCAAGTCCAGCCTGGATGACAACCATAGATTCCTCCATAAATACAGTGGAGGAATACAGTGGAGAAATGAGTGTAGCCACCCAGGGACAGGAAGTGTGTTACTCATTTGCAGCTACCACATCCAAGGACTAGTAAGCTTCAATATATTACATTTTTGTTTATTTGTTTAGATATACTTTAACAGCAAATGACCTTTAAGCCCCTTTCACACGGGCATTCTGTTTTTTTCATCAGTTCAGGTACGTTTTTTCCAAGAAAAAAATGGATCAGTTCACATCTGTTTTTCATTAGTTTACATCTGTTTTTAATCCATTTATCATCAGTTTACATCGTTTTTCGTCCATTTACATCCATTTTTATCTGTTTTTCAGGTGGGTTAACTGTATTTACCCGTAGACTTCTATTATGTTTTCAGAAAGCGCACCAAAATTTCTGCATGCAGTGTGAAACCACCCTAAGCAATGTTGAAAAAAGACATAGATCCATCTAGTTCTACCAAGAGAAAAATAAATAAATACATAAATAAATAAAAATTCTATATCCACTGTTGATCCAGAAGAAGGCAAACAAAACCCTACAAAACATAGTCTACTTTTGCTTCAGTTTGGGAAAAATAAATTCTAAGTTGTTCTCCTGTAGGCCAGCCTCCCCCCACCAGCACTTATGCATCAATCTTCCAGGCTTCTGATCTCCAATGTAAACACAGAGCAGAAGCCCAAAGAGGGGAGTTTAGCTGCTGAGTGTATGACTTGGATGACTTTAGTGCTTTTGCTGTCAACTCACAGTTACATAGGTACATGTCTGGCTGAAAACAGACCAAATCCATCCAGTTCAACCAAAAATAAAAAGTTATAATCCTATACCCACAGTTGATCCAGAGGAAGACAACAAAAAACCCAGGAAAGCACGATCCAATTTGCTGCTCCTGCAGGGAGAAAAATTCCTTCCTGATCCCCCGAGAGGCAATCGGATATTCCCTGGATCAAATTTACCTATAAATGTTAGTTATATTCTGTGTATCTAGGAAACAATCCAGGCCTTTTTTAAAGCAATCCACTGAGATGGTGAACCAACTCTTGAGGGAGTCTATTCCACATTTTCACAGCTCTTACTGTGAAGAAACTTTTCCATATTTGGAGATTAAATCTTTTTTCCTCCAAATGTGAAGACCGCCCCCTTATCCTCTGTGATGACCTCAGGGTGAATAACTCTACTCCGAGTTCACTATATGTACTCTGAGGACAAATTGCTCCACAGTACCTTCAGCTACAGAAGTCAGTGAAAACTCACTTTAATGCTCATTTAGTGCTTGATCAGAATATGTAATATTTGAATGTCCATAGCCTGGCCACAGTTTCAAGTTAATCCGCTATACACATATTTATCTATGCATCTCATTTATAACTATCCATCGATCATTCTTCATTTCCTTCCTTTTATTCGATTTTTTGTGTTGCCTAGGGCAGAACAAATTTTGCATACACTCCTGCTACATCCATTTATTGTTCTATATTCTCCTTGTCATTCATTTGCCTGGCCATCTATCTATTCTTCCCATTCATCTGTCTGTCTTTCAATATATCCACCCATCCATTTATCCATATACAGAATATTTCTTCTCCCATTTTATACAGGATTTTAAAAAGTTTGCTGGCACAAAGTTATCACTTCATAATGTTCTCTCATCATGAAGTTCTTGTTAATAGTTACCCTGATATCCGTATGATTTCAGATCTCACAGAATAGTTTGGGGTTTATAAGGTAGAGTGCCGACTAAGTGAAACTTCAGCAGTGATAATGAAAGCAGCTCTATGCAAATAATGTTTCTAATTATATCCTGCGTAACTATTCTGTGCATTGCAGGCACAAAATCTAGTGTGGATATATTGTGTATGGGGAATACTCTCTATATCCCACCATCTCTTATCTAGATGTAAATTAGCTGGTCAGAATATTCAGACAAACATCACATAATATATGTAATAGAGTACCAATCTGACCACAGTTTCTCCAGCATTGAGGACTATGTTGTTCTGAGAATTTGGCCATTTGGTAAGGAGTTAGATACCATCTTGTGGAAATTTTGTGTGTGTTAGCTTCCAAAGGTTAACACATCTAGTAGCTGAAAACACATTCCCGAATGCACATTCCCAGTGCTCATTAGAGAGTTCAGCTTCAAAGTATTTTTCCCACTTGATTAAGGGAGTAGTCTTACTAAATTCTGATTTACATTGTAGAAGGTTATAAAATAGGGTTATACCACCTGATTTAGGAGTAGCGGAGCTATAGAACTGTAAAGATACTTTGGGAATATATATTGTTTTTACTGAATGTTTCGATAGGCAACGACAGATGCGTGTATAGGTTGATTCTTCAGAAGGGAGGAGATTAAATTCTTTCATAAGGAATTCAAAATGTTTTATGTTGTTTTTAATACAAATATCTTGTATAATGCATATGCCATTATGGCTCCAATTAGAGATATCTATGCTAGGCATCACGACTTCTAAGGCTGTTATAGGTATAAGAAGAGAACTTATTGGGAAAGGATCTATAGGCATGGAGGTTAAGGATTTCCAGGCTTCAATTGAGGCTCGTATAATTGGTGTTGTTTTACTAGTGGGAATCCTTTGCCATGAGCTCGCTAGTAGTATGATGTCAACAAATCCCATTCCTCCTATTTTTTTGTGTTTGATTAATATATTACGTGAGCATCTAGGTCTCATATATTTGAAATGCTACCATTTTGTCCATATTTAATATATTTCTAAATATATTTCAATAAATATATATATATACTGCATGTTGAAAATCTGAAGAATATATTTAAAAAAAAATAAAAAAAAATTTTTTTTTTTAAAATATATTCTTCAGATTTTTTTTAACATATAAAAAAGTCATTTTAACATATATTTTTACATATATTTGTAGAAGTAAAGAGATTATTTAGCATTAAAATGATTTAATCCGCAAAGAGCATTATTTTGTGGTGGGTTTTTTACCTATATAGAAGCCATGTATATCTGGATTGTTTCTTATAGTTTCAGCAAGAGGTTCAGTTGATAGGTTAAAAATTATTGGCAACAATGGGCATCCTTGTCTGGTACCATTCGTAATTAACAATAGTTTGAATAGCATGTTAGGTACATAGACTTGGGCGGAAGGATTTGAGTAAAGTGCTGAAATAGCATTAATAATTCTTCCTGAAAATCCATATTTATGCAGTACTTGGAACATGCAGGTCCAGGGTATCCTATCAAAAGCCTTTTCGGCGTCCAGAGCAAGTAATAAGGAGGACATTTTTTGTGAGTCTGTGTAATGAATTATGTTGATTAGTCTCTGGCTTGCATCAGATGTTTTGTCTACCTTTAGTAAAACCTAACTGATCAGGCCTGATCAAATCTGGGAGTATATTGGCCACTCCACACACTATAATTTTAGCGCAGATCTTAATAAAATGAAAATTTGTGGGTTGTCTGGATCTTTACCTGATTTGGGGATTGTTACGATTAATGCTTGTAGCATTTTGGAAAGTAATGATGAGGAAGAAAACGCATCAGTGTATAGTTGGTTTAGAGAAGGGTAATTTTGAAAATTTTATAGTATTCTCTGGAAAATTAATCTGGTCCTGAACTTTTGCCATTGGGTAGTTTTTCTGTTCTGTTTATTTTAGTTTATTGTGATAGGGGAGTTTAATATACTTAATTGTGATTTTGAATGAGTGGGTAAGCGAATTTGTGATAAAAATGCTTCTATGTTTTGTATAGAAGGTTGGAGAGTGGGTTTGTCTTGATTTAGGTTATAAAGCGAATCGTAGTAACTAGCAAATTAATTTGCTATTTCTTGAGGATTAGTGATTTTAGTTTTATCTTTTGGGTTAATAAGATAGTATTTTAGTTCTAGTATGCAGGGATTTCATTTTTTATTCAATAGGTATTTCCCTGCTTTGTTTCCATTAGAGTAGTAGTTGCGTTTTTAATCTTTTCATACTTCTATCAAATTGGTACATTAGTAAGGAGCGTAATTCGTTCCTTAGTCTGGAAAATGTATTTGAGGTGGTTTGATTGACTTGAGCTTTATTTTACGTTTCTAGTTTTGCGAATATAGTACAGGGGTCCTCAAACTTTTTAAACAGGGGACCAGTTCACTGTCCCTCAGACTGTTGGAGGGCCGGACTATAGTTTAAAAAAAAAAAACTATGGTCATCCCCTGTACTGTGTCCGCATTTGTTCAGAGACTGCGGACATACAACGGCGGTGGGAATACTGGGCCGGGCCGCTCTATAAGACGCACAGACATTTTCCCCAAGTGTGTCTTAAGGAGCTAAATAGTGTCCCCTCATTGGTGTCAGTGGGAAGAACAGTGTCCCCATCATTGGTGTCAGTGGGAGGAATAGTGCCCCACCATTGGTGTCAGTGGGAAGAATAGTGCCAGATCAATGGTGTCAGTGGGAGGAATAGTGCCCCATCACTGGTGTCAGTGGGAGGAATAGTGCCCCATCATTGGTGTCAGTGGGAGGAATAGTGCCCCATCATTGGTGTCAATGGGAGGAATAGTGCCCCATCATTGGTGTCAGTGGGAGGAATAGTGCCCAATCATTGGTATCAGTGGGAGGAATAATTCCACATCATTGGTGTCAGTGGGAAGAATTGTGCCCCATCATTGGTGTCAGTGGGAGGAATAGTGCCTCATCATTGGTATCAGTGGGAGGAATCGTGCCCCATCATTGGTGTCATTGGGAGGAATAGTGTCCCATCATTGGTGTCAGTGTGAGGAATAGTGTCCCATCATTGGTGTCAGTGGGAGGAATAGTGTCCCATGATTGGTGTCAGTGTGAGGAATAGTGTCCCATCATTGGTGTCAGTGGGAGGAATAGTGTCCCATCATTGGTGTCAGTGGGAGGAATAGTACGTCATTGGTGCCAGTGGGGGGGGGGTGGAATAGTGCCCCATCATTGGTATCAGTGAGAGGAATAGTGTCCAGTCATTGGTATCAGCAGGAGGAATAGTGCCCCATCATTGGTATTAGTGGGAGGAATAGTGCCCCATTGATGGTGTCAGTGGGAGGAATATTGTCCCATCATTGGTGTCAGTGGGAGGAATAGTACATCATTGGTGCCAGTGGGGGGGGGGGGGGGGGTTGGAATAGTGCCCCATCGTTGGTGTCAGTGGGGGGAGGAATAGTGCCCCATTGTTGGTGTCAGTGGAGGGAGGAATAGTGGCCCATCGTTGGTGTCAGCGGGGGGAGGAACAGTGCCCCATCATTGATGTCAGTGGGAGGAATAGTGCCCCATCACTGGTGTCAGTGAGAGTAATAGTGCCCCATCATTGGTGTCATTGGTGTCAGTGGGGGGAATAGTGTCCCATCACTGGTGTCAGTGGGGGGGAGGAATAGTGCCCCATCGTTGGTGTCAGTGGGGGGAATAGTGCCCCATCATTGGGTGTCAGTGGGAGGAATAATGCCCCATCATTATTATCAGTGACACCAATGTTGGGGCACTATTCCTCCCACTGACAGCAATGACACTTAACTAGCCGACCCCTGTTTCAGCATGGTGCTGCTGAAGCCAGCATACCTGGTTGCAGCAGTACCATCTGCACAGCACACTTACTGGGCGGTCAGCTGTCTTCCTTCCTTCACTTCGGCCTCTCCCTCCCTTGATTTTCGCGGGGCCGCTCGGCTCCGCCTCCTCGCTGGTGATTGGCAGCCTGTGTGCCTTTCCTGAGCTACAGTACTGGCGCCCAATCACCGGTGAGGAGGCGGAGCCGAGCGGCAGCGCGGACATCGAGTGAGGGAGCGGCCGGAGTGAAGGAGCTGCGCATCCTTCACTGGATCGTCCTGGGACTGGAGCCAGGTAAGAGACAGCAGCTCCCTGCCCGCCCCTGTACTTAGTGTCCCCTGCCGGCGGGCCGAATGAATGTGCTCGGCGGGCCGCATGTGGCCTGCGGGCTGTAGTTTGAGGACCCCTGCTGTAGTAAGTCATTAAGCTGTTTATTTCTTTGCTTTTAGCTTTAGCGCACATTTGTAAAATTATGCCACGTATATATGCTTTGTGAGCACACCAAAGAGCGCCAGCGTTTGATACAGATTACGAATTTATATGGAAGAACTCCTCAAGATGTTTTTCATGTATCAAGTTATTGTTGGGGATTTTTATAATGGATCAATTTACACGCCAGAAGTTGTGTGGTTTCAATAAGTGGTTATCCGAAATAGTAATTGAAACCGGTGCGTGGTCTGACCACGTTATATTGCCTATGGTTGATGTGGTAACATTTTGCAGTAGCCATTTATCTACTAATATAAGGTCATTTCTCGAATAAGATTGGTGTCTAGCCGAAAAAAAAGGTGTAATCTCTTTCACCTTCATGTTGACATCTCCAAATGTCATAGACATCCTCATTTATTAGAAAGGGGTATAGGGTTGGGGTAGTCTTTTTTTGATATTTTGTTGAGTCTAGGTTTCTGTCAACTATGAGGTAGCATTTTATAAGACAACAAGAACGATTTTTGGAGATTAGTTTAAAGAGCTTGGTCAAGTATCTTTTTTGATGAGTATTAGGTGTGTATGAATTTACAATAGTGTAATCTGTATTATCTATAGCACATATAAGAATCAGGTACCGGCCTTCGAGGTCTGAGATATTTTTATGAAGAACAAAGTTTAGTGTATCTCTAATAGCACTCTAATAGCAGTGAGTACTCCTCTCTTTTTTTCAGAGGCATTGGCAGTATAGACATGTGGAAACTTTTTTGTGTGAGCATTTAGGAGGGGCTGAATCTACAAAATGAGTTTCTTGAACACAGAGCATATCACATTTATCTTTAAATGCCTGTTTCCACATGTTTGTACGTTTGGCTGGATGATTCAGGTCATTGACATTAATAGAGATCATTTTATACCCATTGAATAGATATATTTACCAATATTAATCAGGGCTTAACCAAGGGGCCCCTAAAGCGGTAATACATTTTTATGCACATGTCAGTTAAACCATTTAGACTATCAGGAATTACACGATAGTAGAAACAAAAAGGAAAAAAAATAAACAAATAGAGATAACCAAACAGATAACAAATCAGTAAAAAAAAATAGAATCTTAGCCAAGATCCGAACGCAATAAACATTGCGTAGTAGTTTTGGGGCAAAAACATAACAAGTGACCTTGCCATTGGCAGGCATACTTACAGGTAATGTGTTCGGTAAGGGTAGTACCCTCAGTGCCTTTCTTAAACATGTGAAATTACATCTAAGCGGGGACCATGAGATAAGATTGCGAGTATACAGTCAATGTTTAGTTTGGCGTTTGAGAGTGACCAGGTTCCACTCTGGAGACTCTCTGATGGTGGTAGAATGTTGTGGGTCACTTTCTGGGAGAATGTTGAGAGGCCACTCTCTAAGACATTGCAGACCTTCCTCTAGGCTGCTGATTGTGATGATTGAGTCATTTCTGGTGTTGATCAATTTAGTGGGGTGACCCCAATGATAAATCATTTTATCATTTTGTGGTTTCGTAGAGCTTTTGTTATTGGAAGGAGATTTTTCCTGAGTTGCATGATGCACTTAGATAAATCTGTGAAAAGCTGTAAAGAGGAGAATTGCTCATGCAAATTTTGGGATTTGTGCGCAATTTCCATGATTTTTTCTTTGACGTGAAAAAAAAATTAATTCTCATCAAGACATCTCGAGGTATTTTATCTGGCAGATAGGAGGGTTTCAGAAGGCGATGTATTCTATCAATGGTCAGATCTGTGTTTGTAGCATCAGGTAGGATGGCACGAAAGAGTTCTTGCGTATATGCTCTCAATTGGTCAGGTTGTATTGATTCTGGAATGCCTTTTATTTTAATGTTGTTACGCCGTGATCTATCCTCCAGATCTGCGACTTTATTTTTGCGCCATTCAATTTCTTCATCCCTTTCGTTGTGGGCATCCACTAGGGTGTTAAAGGAAGTGGTGTATTCTCCCATTTTTGTTTCAACATAGTCAAATCTGTCGCCTAGATTATTAATCTCTGATTTGATTTGTTGCATAGAGTTAATGATATCTAACTGTCTGACTGTATGGATGATCTTAATGAAAGAAGCATCTCTTTCATAAATGTATCAAGAATAGGCTGACTAGTAGTAGGAAAGTGAGCCATCGGATCTGAGAAATTACTTGCAGAATGTGAAGTATTAGTGTGAGAATCTGTTACAGCATGCTGTGGGTTAATATCTGTCATTCTAGGTTTAGATTTTGCTGGGCTTTCAATAGAGAAAGTAGAGAAAGCAGGGGAGACAGGATGTAGTAAGATACAGCTGTTTTTCTGCTTAACAGGTGTCACAGGAGAAGCTGCAGAGACTTGCCTGTGTGCTGAGTGAGAGGAGGAGGAGGTTCCTGAGCTGCTGCTGCCATGTTGGGGACTGCTGTGATCCAGCCGAGGGGGAAACTCTGTTAGTTTCAGGAGTTTCCTCTCAGCTTTCCTCTTCTTTGTCATCTCCCTGAGAGTCAACGGGCTGTTGCCTCCCTCTGGTCACTTTTGGAGTGTCAGGTCCGCCACTGCTGTGTGCTTTTGCAGCCATTCAGCTTCCGCTCCGGCCATACCTTTGAATTCATGTTCTTGATGCCATTTTCTATGGGTATAGGTGGAAATCACAGATCCGTATCAATATATCCTGCCCGTTACTTCAGCTGAGTCCCTGCAGTAAACAATAAACAAGGATTACAGTATTTTACAGCATGACTCATGAGCCTGAGTCCCCCACTGATACTCCTGGCTCCTACTCCTTGACCAGTGCCCCCAATAGTAAGCCACTTGCAATGGGGGCACTTGTGCATGCTCACTCCTGAGCCCCGCTCTAAATATCTGTATGACACATAGAGCCATGGTTCAGCCTGTCCCGCTCTTGGCTCACTGGCAGTGATTCACAACAGTGGGAGCCAATGGTGTTGCAGCCCATGAGGAGAGAGACCCTGGACAGCCAAGGCTCCTGTATAAATCAATATATCATGATTAGGCTCAGGTGAATATTAGGGAGGTTATGTAGGGAAGCAGCACAAAGAAGGTTTTTTTAACTTGATGCATAGAAATCAAGAAGGTAAAAAACCTTCAGCCATTACAACCATGTTAAACTATTACAGTATATGACTTTTATACTCTCAGAACACTGAGAAAATGCAGCATTTTAAAGAGAAGCGTGCACATCACTCCCTGGAACAAACTCATAGTCTAATGTCCTTTCCATGTTTGCAAAAAAATTGGGCCAATTATGTAGGGAATTCCCTTAACCCACTAGTATAATTTTGGAAGAAAATAATGCAGACGTGAGGATAACATATAAAGGTGTTAAGAATGTTCACCAAGGGCTCATTTACACTTGCGGTTGGGGGGCAGTCATGGCAAAAAATGTATGGTGCCACTGAACGTGACCCGTTCAAGTGCTGCTCTGTAATGATGCTGCTTCTTTATTACCCTGGTAAACATCTTCCTGGGTTCACATCTCTGTTATTATAGCTGAACAAGTGCTTTCTATCATATGTAGGGAAATTCACCAGTTTCTGGGTTGCACTACACTCCTCAATAAAAACTCATCTTGGGTTTTCCATCCCTAGAACTACTGAAGATTGTCTTTTAGGTATCTTAATGACTTCATATACCTATCACATGAGCACTTTATGTTCCTAATACTTTTCTAAGCATACAAGACTATTCTACTTGATTGGAGGAATCCTAACCTTCCAACACTTACATATGATTTTCACCTGATGAATGTGGATCTTCTCAAATATAAAATACTTTACACTGGCAGAATCTGCCCCAAGAAATCTCAAGATATGGAATCTGTGGATGGAGTCATGGACAGTACATCTGGACTGCAGCACACAGTCCAGATGTACCTATCTGAAATATTGTGTCCTAATCTTGTGTGGCTTTCTTTTGCTGACCTTTGACATAGGTGTTGGGGAGGCAAGTGTGAATGTTGGTTGATAGTGTGTATGAGGGTTAAATTTACCTGCACTTATTGTTCAATTGTTGAGTACTGAGAGATCCTGAGCACACATTATTGTTCTGGTTAATGTACAGTATGTCCTGGTTCAGTTGAACCCATTTGTTCTTAAAAGTAAGTGCTATGCAAAACCAAAATAATCAGAATTTCCTTCAATGGGCCATTATATCCAGTCCAATTATCTACCTAATTCTTGTCATTCACTGTTAGATATACTGTAGACTGAACAGGAAGAATTGAACAGATTCCTCCATCCATGGTTTTAGTATGTGGATGGACAAATCTCCCTCTTTGCCTGTTGTATTCTGACAGAATAACTAAACAGTGGCTGCATCTAACTGGAAGCAGCCA